TTATTAGATATAAGAGCAGAAACTATGCACGTCACATCCGACGTACTCACTCAGCCGAGTGAAATCTCCTCCCGGCCGAATTCTATGCTCGCAGCTCGTTGAATCGTAAGCGCGATGCACGCGACCACGCGATCGCCCAATCATTCGCTCTATTTCCCACTCCTTCGTACCGAAAACCCCCGGGAGTCGTTTTGGGGCGATGCCGCGGCTGATCCGTACGCGGTCGCCGTGGGCTAACCCGGCGGAGCGTGAAACGTGCGAGAACGTCTGTTTCTGGTGGGATATCTCACGACCATTTCCATTTAATTGATCGTCCTGAAACGTTGGCGCGTATATGTGCCCCGTGGATCGAAGGCGATACCGGGACGGCGATTTCAATGGGCAGTGGACGAGCCAATTAGCTCCGTCCCAATGCTCAGGTATTCTCTTTCCCCCTCACTGCAGCTTCACTCTTTCTTTACTTCTCTCCGCTTTACTTTCTCTTTCTTTCTTGTTCTCTTGCGCTCTCTACTCTTTTCTTTATATTATCTTTCTGTTAGTCTTTCTTCCTGTGTCTCCCTTATTTGTTTTCTCTCTTTATCGCTCCGCTGGCTTAAGTCCTTTATCCCATATCTTTCTCTCTTTCTCTCTCTCTTTCTGCTGCCAGACCAAACTCCCGATCTATATGCGACCTGGAAGGCTTCCGGACTGAAGCGGGATATTACAGGCCCCTCTTTCGCCCCGGACACGAGAACACAGAAAACCGGGATCCTATCTTATCCGCGGAGAAGTTTATAGCCCGGTCGACTCTAATTGGGCGAGAAATCATCGGGCACTCCTTTTCTCCGTCCGCACGCTCAAAAAGACTCTCACTAATTCACGATTTCTCGCGTATTATTGCCGGACCGTGCCACCGCCTCCCTCTCCCCCTTCAATCCTTTCGTCGTTCTGTCAAACACCTTCTCTTTCTTCCTTCTGGATTCTTGGCAACGAGCAGACATCATTCTGATAGGATTCAACAGTCTCGATAAATCGGCGCTTAAACTGAACAGCGTATTTGAATGTTTTTATACAGTGTGCCTATGTGTATTCATATTTTACAAGAATTGAGATGTATAGCTGAATAAGGAGTTGAGACGCGAAGCAAAATTAAATAGGTATATAATCACCGCAACATAATCAATTGGCTGACTTAATTAAATATATTGTTTAATTATAATATAATATATTGTTTAATAATAATTATGACTTAATTAAATATATTGTCAATTACAAAATAATCAAGATATAATATAATTAAAATATAAAAGGAAAATTGCAGTTTTTGTTAATTAATTATGTTTTTATTTATTTATATATTAGGTCTACTGGAAAGTTCTGTCCGTTTTTGGAATAAAACAAAATACAAATTTTTATTACCGTCAATAAACTTTATTAAATAATGTAATTGCCATTATTATTAATGATTTCTTGCCAGTGTGAGGGCAATTTGTATATCCCATTTTCGAAAAATGTTTTATCTTTTGATGCGAACCAGTGCTTGTTTGATATCTTGTTCCTTTTTGAATTTTTTGCCCCTCAAAAAATTTTGTAAGGACAAAAACAAGTGATAGTCGGTGGGTGCTAAGTCCGGGGAATATGGTGGATGCGACAGAATTTCCCAGCCTAGTTCTGCACTTTTTTGACGAGTCCCCAAAGCAGCATGTGGGCCTGGCATTATCATGATGCAGTATGATGTTCTTCCTATTGTACATCGCCGGCCTCTTTTCTTGGACTGCTGTATTTAAATTATCCAGTTGCTGACAATACTTCTCCGAATAATGGCAATTACATTATTTAATAAAGTTTATTGACGGTAATAAAAATTTGTATTTTGTTTTATTCCAAAAACAGACAGAACTTTCCGGTAGACCTAATATATTGTTTAATTATAATAATTGGCTGACTTAATTATATATATATTGTTTTCTATCAATTGTTCTTCTAATTATTTTACATAGCTGAAGGAGATTTTGAGAATTATTCAAATACGGATAAACAAAAATGTTTTATATGATCTGCATAAGCAATTTGCTCGTCAACAAAGTATCTCTCTTGTTTCATTTTATCACCGTGTAATAAAAATTTGCGAATCAACTTACTGTAATTCCTTCTTAAAAAATAAATTCAAAGAGAGAGTTAATTAACCCAAATAAAAATTTTGGGGCAATTGTTAATCGCGCGCATAAATCTCGCCTTAGGGTCTATGCCTCAGACGTCAACGCGTGACTTTGTCGATTAAGCGGAAGCATTCACATTTATTTTCTCTTTATCACGTTCGAATATTTTCTCACGAACGGACGCGACGGAAGTGGCTTAACGCAATTTACGGCGAATACGAACGGCCGTGCCTGCCTGTCGGTAATCCTCTTCGTCCTAATTCTCGTTAACATCCGAATATCTCAGTTTAAGCGAACTGTGCATGGTTAACGTCCCGGCGCGGTAACGGACGATTCGAAGCGAGCGCGCGATTTACCGCGCGCGAGGAGGTGCGCCAGGCAATATCTCATTGAGCAAAGGAGGAGGTGACTTTAACGTCGACCTCCTCTCTCCCCTCGCACTCTGTCGGTGAGCAATCGCGGCCAAGACGGGGCCCGACCGTTGCCCGCCGAGGGAGTAAGATCGTTAATCTTACCGCGCACCGATCGGGCGCAGATAGTAATTGTTACGTTCTGCTTTCCTGTGGCCGACCGTTCGAGCGTGTCCGACGAGAGGCTCCTCCAACACCTGAGGACTCGAACCCGTCTCCCTCTCTCTCACACATCTCCGCGTTCTATTTCCCACCTTTGTTCCTCCACAGGCGCGCGCGCGCTCGCACGCTCGTTTCTCTAAGTTTGCGTCGGGAGTCGCCGACCGATCCTCACCCATCACTGGCATTAATGCCTCCGGCGAATCTATTGGTATTACAATACCACCGATATCTGTTTGCCACTTTTTTGCCAACTATTCGCGTTGGATCTCTTTGGCTTGTATATAACGATGACAGGTGAATGAAATCGCGCGCGCGGAAGTTGAATCGGCCCAAGCGAAAAAACTCAGCGAGGAAGATTAAAATAATGATGATTCGCAAGCATGAGCAATGTGGAAAATTGAAAGACCGTTTAATTTACAGGAAATTAATAAGTTTTTTTTCTTCATTTGACGAGTCTCGCGCGCGTAATCATTACTACATACATCGTCGTTTATGATCAATAATATAATAAAAGAAACCACGAGAATCTTTTGCTTGAATTAAGGGAACCGCCGCGATCGCTATCCTTTATACCCAAAATTTCTGGTCTCCCTATTGGGCATCCTCCACCTGTTCCACCTTCGGAAAGGCTCGAATTACTTTCTCGCCTCGAAATCCGCAAGCCCAATATCCCAACTTTGTGGCTTTTCGCGGGGTTTCTTCGTACCTTTATATACCGATGCCGACGATATTGTCATACAGTCGTTTCACTCACGCGCAAATAGAAGCAGGTTCCCCATTCGGTCCCAAAAAAAGAGGAGATACGCGCGTGAAAAGATACGTCGATCCGTCGTGTTAAAACCATTAACGAGTCCGCTCGTATTACATGCCCGGCGACGCGATCTCGCTTCTTCGCGTTCAGCTTCATCTCTCCTCTCCTCTCCGGGCATCCTCCTGATCTCCGCTGTGTCTGCCCTTCTCGTCCTACCGTGCGCGTATTCTCGGCTCGTGAAGCCGAGAGCGTGGCCATAAATTCGCCGCTCGCGTTGACCGTTGACGCGGGCCACGATATCCGAAATGTCGCGCGGATCCAATGTTTTCGTGCTCTCGACGGCAACAGGCGATTCCACCCGTGCCGAGTAGATGAGAGTGTCGCTCGGAGAAACCAGTTTCGCGCGCAGATTCCTTATTTGCGAGCTCGACGAAACCGTAGATTCGAGTTAATCGTCGATGAGCCTTCTCGCGCGCTTTTTCACCCGTTCTCCCTTCTTACTTTTCTCTTCTCTCTTTCCCACAATTCGTATACGCGCCTTCGAGCGGTCTCAGGAGTACCTGTGTCATCATCGACGTCTGCCGGGGAATGAAATTGTTCCGGTAACAATCGTGAAATATTTAATTTGTATCATAGGTGTGAAATAGATTTTTAATAGGAAAATCTCAAGGCGAGAGAGAGAATACGCGATAATGAATATTTCCGCAATAATTAACTTAATGGATGATTGTGGAATAAAAGAAGTGGACGATAAGATCAAGTTTAATTTTCAGGAAGTCGCAAATAATACTAACCGGCAGATTTTTACTGTGTTCTATGGAACATTGAACAGATTAAAATTATTAGATAGACTCTCTCTCTCTCTCTCTTCGGGTGTGCAATACGTAGCGAAATATCTTGTATACCGGAGAGTAGATATGCGGAAATATATTCCGCCAAGGATAATTGCCGTAGAGTATAAATCGAAAAGTATCTAGAGCTGCTTGTGATATCGATTATTTTACGTATTGATATCCACAGCAATTTCAATGTAAATCAATAAAGATATGTATAGTTCGGAGAGCAAACACAGTAATCAAACCCAAGTTATTGTAGGAAAAACATCTCGCATTTTTCTATAGCTTACCTGTTTTTAATTTCACGCTTTATGCATATAATCGAAGTAATTTTTTAGAACGGAAAGAAATGAGTTAGTTATTAATTAAGTGTCGAAAATATTATAATTGATTTTTTTTTTTTTT